AGACTAGTGAACCAAGCCCAAGGTGTGGATTTTAGCCTTCTTCAGTGATAATGATCGTGTGTGGCTTAGAGGAAGAGTCACTAGTTCAGATCTTGCCTCAGATAAATAGAACTTTACTAGTTTTGCTAGTGTGAAGAAAAACACAAAGGATGAGTAACCAAAATAAACAGAACTGAACTTGCATTAATTGGTAATGAAGAACAATCGTATCAAAAATAAAAAAGCTTAAGAAAGAGACTGTCAATTGCAGGAATTTAACAATCTAAGTACAAACAATTTCCTAGAAATGGATAAAAACTAGCATTGAAGATAAGTGTGTGAGACTTGGTCTCGATGTATTGGTGCTAGACCCCCTCCAATTATGGCTATGGAATCCTTTTATAGTGCAAAATCAACTTCCTATTTCTGCTCTAACTGCCAGGACGTGGCTGCTAGAAATTTTGCCAAGTGTCCCATAATTTCTGCCTTGAAACCCAATTCTAGAAACCATCTTGATCACTAATGGTTGACCCCCCCAGATTTGCTCCCATTTGGCTGCTTTCATGGCCCACTCAAATCTTTTTATTCTCCCCATGTGCATTATGCTAGCTAGGGCTGTTCACGCAAACCTGGAACTCAATCAAACCGATCGGCCTGACCCAACCCGACAAGCTACGAGCAGTTTCGAACATTGGGACAATTGGCAGTGGTCTTAGGTGGCTTGATTTTGCGGGTTCACAGAGGGTAACGAATTTTTAATCTTTGAATTCGTCGAAACCAATCCAACTGATAAATAATATATATATATATATTATGGACAAAGTTTTAAAATTGCTTCCGTTTGGCCCTTTTTACTCTGATGAGTTTTGTCTTATTTGGTTTGAGGCCGTAGGTAATCTCGTGATTACTGGCCGGTTATGACCTTAACCCATAGGGGCGGGTTCGGGTAATGACACATAATCTATATTAATGCAGCAAACAATCAAAGTTCTGTTTGCACCTCCAAAAATGATAGCGAACATGTAGGCAATGTTGGGTTTATTAGTGCAAGCGTGCTAAGACTAGTGAACCAAGCCCAAGGTGTGGATTTTAGCCTTCTTCAGTAATAATGATCGTGTGTGGCTTAGAGGAAGAGTCACTAGTTCAGATCTTGCCTCAGATAAATAGAACTTTACTAGTTTTGCTAGTGTGAAGAAAAACACAAAGGATGAGTAACCAAAATAAACAGAACTGAACTTGCATTAATTGGTAATGAAGAACAATTGTATCAAAAATAAAAAAGCTTAAGAAAGAGATTGTCAATTGCAGGAATTTAACAATCTAAGTACAAACAATTTCCTAGAAATGGATAAAAACTAGCATTGAAGATAAGTGTGTGAGACTTGGTCTCGATGTATTGGTGCTAGACCCCCTCCAATTATAGCTATGGAATCCTTTTATAGTGCAAAATCAGCTTCCTATTTCTGCTCTAACTGCCAGGACGTGGCTACTAGAAATTTTGCCAGGTGTCCCATAATTTCTGCCTTGAAACCCAATTCTAGAAACCATCTTGATCACTAATGGTTGACCTCCCCAGATTTGCTCCCATTTGGCTGCTTTCATGGCCCACTCAAATCTTTTTATTCTCCCCATGTGCATTATGCTAGCTAGGGCTGTTCACGCAAACCTGGAACTCAATCAAACCGATCGGCCTGACCCAACCCGACAAGCTACGAGCAGTTTCGAACATTGGGACAATTGGCAGTGGTCTTAGGTGGCTTGATTTTGCGGGTTCACAGAGGGTAACGAATTTTTAATCTTTGAATTCGTCGAAACCAATCCAACTGATAAATAATATATATATATATATTATATAGATCTCCAGCTATGAAGCTTGATAACCTTGATGGTTGTGTGCGTTTACTTGACAGCTACCTTTAACACTTTGGTAGATGTGTCCAATGTCCATTTACTCTTGTGAAAGACTAAGGCCTCGTTGTAGAACAGACTGTTTTAGTAACTTTTTGATTTTTTTTGGCCAAATATGAGGTAAAAAAAATTAGTATGTTTGGAATGAATTTTTAGTTTTTTACGAAAAGATGTGAAAAAAACAGAGAGAAAAAGAAATCTTTGACTTTTGATATAGGTTGTTGGCTTTTTAGTTTTTTTAGTGACTTTTTTGACATTTAGGCTAAAATATTGAGTTGTTAAACGAAGCTTAAGAGTCCGAAAAAGCTTAAACTTCTCATTTTAAAAAAAATAAATAATAATACTAAATCAATTCAAGAGTCAGCCAATTCTTTGTCTCCATTCACATCTCTCAGGACAAACACTCCTCTCTCTCTCTCTCTCTCTCTCTCTATGTGTAAAAGTATCAACCCTCCATTAAAGCTGAAACTTCTCATTTCAAATAATAATAATAATAATACTAAATCAATTCAAGGGTCAGCCGACTCTTTATCTTCATTCACATCTCTCAATACAAACAATCCTCTTTGATCTCACTTATCTCTACCTCTTTCTCTCTCTCTTTCTCTTTCTCTCTTAAAGTATCAACCCTCCATTGAAATTGTTTAACTCACCTCATAGATTATGCAACAGAAATCCCTTTCAAAGTTCGATAGTGAGCGATGGTAATAACGATGAGTGGCAATAGTGGTGGTGATGGACAATGACGGTTGTTAGTTTGTTGTTTCTCTTGTAAATCTGTGTTGATGGCAGTAGTGGTGGTAATGGATGACGACATTCGTGAGTTTGTTGTTTCTCTCGCAAATCTATGTTGATTTTGTTTAAATCTATATATATATGTAATATATCATCATATATGTATCAATTCGATATTTGAATCCATTTTTGTTCCTTCACCGTCTTCGTCTCACAGATTTTCAAATTAACCAAACTGACCACTAAATCATGTTATCTAATTCGGTTGATTTCGATCCATAGATCGATCGGAAACAGGTGAGCAATTTCCTAATCCGAGGGTGTCGGTTCGGATGACGGCATGATTATCAAAATCCCGATCCGGATCGTAGGATCATATGATTCTACGATCTTAGTTGGGCCAAACGATCTGGATCACCCTAGGATCTTAAATTTAGTAGGATCTTAAAGTTATTATGATCCTAGTTATAAAATATAGAATCACATACGATCCCGATTCTACTTTGATCGAGATCCTACCAATTTTTTTTGTTATTAATTATTTTCTACATATATGTGTGTATATCGATATAAAAAATTTGACTATCAACTCATTTTTCGAATGTCTTCTCTAATTTATGTGAACATAGAATATTCATTATATCAAATTTATTAATTTTCTTTAATCTTTTTAAAATTATGTAACAAAGATTATCATTGTCAATAATTTTTGATTAAAAGTATAATCTTATGATTCTTAATCCGATTCTACGATCATATCCATTAGTCCCTCCCAACAATCCTACTTGGGATCCCAATTTTATCAAACTTGGATAACGGTTCAAGGGTAAACCCGATCCAGACTGACCCACGAACACCCTAATGCTAGCAACATGGCCTAACCACTTGCAATTTAGTAGGAGGTGGACCTCAACCACTTCCTACTTAGCAATGACTAAGGCCTTATCTGTTGTATAAATATTATTTAATTAATTAAATCAAATAATATAACTTGGACCTTGCCACCTCAACTCAATGCCACGTAATTTCTAATTTCATAGTATGCCTATTAAACTCATAAGGGTTTGATAGTTGTCTCTTTTTTTTGAATTTCAGTTTTTGTTGCCATTCCTCTTGGAGAAGCTATTCTACTAGCCTTCTTCTATAAATACTCAGCCAATGTTTCCATCCTTCATCTTTATCCCTATCCTTCTATCACATACTTTCTCCCTCTTCCATTCCTCCAAATCCCAAAACCCTTGATGCTCTTTCTCATTGCCATGGTCACCAAAAAGACTCCCTCTGCTGAGAAAGATCCCAATAGTTCTGAGTCCCTCGTTGATGATCTCCTCATCAACAAAAATCCCAAGATCTATTCTGAATATCTGGTGGAGCTTCCTGTTGCCATGAGGTCCTCTCTTTACCATGGGGCACAAAGGGGTGACGTGGCATGAGTTTAATGGGCCAGTTGTGAAAATAGGAATTACGTGGCATCCGGCTGAGGTGGCAAGGTCCAAGTTGTATTATTTGATTTAATTAATTAAATAATATGTATATAACGAATAAGGCCTCGGTCTCTCTTAAGTAGTAGGAACTGGTTGAGGCCCACCTCCTACTAAAGTGCAATTAGGCCATGTTTCTAGCATAATACACATGTGGAGAATAAAAAGATTGAGTGGGCCATGAAAGCAGCCAAATGGGAGCAAATGTGAGAGATCAACTGTTAGGCATCAAGATGGTTTCTAGAATTCGGCTTTAAGGCAGAAATCATGGGACATTAGGCAAAATTTCTAGCAGCCACGTCATGGCAGTTAAAGCAAAAACATGAGGCTGATTTGTACTACAAAAAGGATTCCATAGCTATCATCGGAGGGGGTCCAGCACCAACACATCAAGATTAGCTCTTGTACACTTATCTTCAATGCTAATTTTTATCAATTTCCAGCAAATTGTTTTTAGTCAGATTGTTAAATTCTTGCAATTGACGGTCCCTGTCTTAAGTTTTCTTATTTTTGATATTATTGTCCTTCATTACCAGTTAATGCAAGTTTTGTTTATTTTTGTTAATCCTTTAGTTTTTCTTCCCACTTCGCAAAATTAGTTAAGTTCTCTTTATCTGAGGCGAGATCCGAACCAGTGGCTCTTTCTCTATGCCACACATAGTCATTATTCCTGAATAAGTCAAAAATCCACAACTTGGACTAGGCTAACCGATACTGGCACCCCTGCACTCATAAACACATCATTGCCTACATGTTCGCTCTCATTTTTTGAGGTGCAAACAGCCACCTGTTTGGATCTCACCTCAGATAAAGAGGACTTTACTAATTTTGCTAAGTGTGAAGAAAAACTCAAAGGATGAGTAACAAAAATGAACATAACAGAAATTGCATTAACTATTAATGAAGAACAATTGCATCAAAAATAAGAAAACTTAAGACAGATTGCCAATTGTAGAAATTTGACAATCTGTCCAAGAACAATTTGATAAAAATTAGTATTGAAGATAAGTGCGCAAGAGCTGGTTTTGATGTGTTGGTGCTGGACACCCTCCAACAAGAGCTATGGAGTCCTTTTATAATGCAAATCGGCCTCCTGTTTCTGCTCTAACTTCCAGGATGTGGCTATTGGAAATTCTGCCAAGTGTGCCATAATTTCTGCCTTAAAGCCCAATTCTAGCAGCCATCTTGATCGCTAACGGTTGACCCTCCAGATTTGCTCCCATTAGGTTGCTTTCATGGCCCACTCAATCTTTTTATTCTCCACATATGCATTATGCTAGCAAAATCGCCTAACCAATTGCACTTTAGTAAGAAGCAGGCCTCAACCACTTCCTACTTCTTAGGAACGGCTGAGGCCTTATGTGTTGTATACATATTATTTAATTAATTAAATCAAACAACAATTGGACCTCGCCACCTCAGCCCGATGCCACGTAATTCCTACTTTCACAGCTGGCCCATTAAGCTCATGCCATGTCAACCCTTGTGCCACTTGGAATTTTCCCAATAAGGGTATCAAATAATATAACTTGGACCTTGCCACCTCAGCCCTATACCACGTAATTCCCGCTTTCACAGCTGGCCCATTAAACTCATGCCACATCACCCTTTGTGCCATGTGGAATTTTGCCAAAACGGGTACACACAAGTACATAAATGAATATATGTACATATATATATATACCTACTTATTTCAGAAATCATCAACATTTCCACAATATACACTTCAACTTCAAGATGGTAATCTCCACAATTGATGAATGCTAGAAAAAGTAAGCGTGTATTGTAGGTTATAACAAAGTCAGGAAGTTCATTAGGTCTAGAGACTGTCGCAGTTAAATTTGGACCTAACCTTTAGGCGAGAAATTCGTAAAACTATGCAGTACTATCAACCAATGGTTTGAAATAGATTGTTGAATAGATGATTTTACTTGAAAATCAAAAGTGAAACATGGCTAGAACTGTTACCAATTTTCCCAAAAGCCTAAGTTATTAGGAAATGGACCCAATAATGTATATCAAGTTATCTAACACCCTCCCTCACATGCAACCCCATCTCGCACGTGAAGAGACAAACAAAAGGATAGGCAGACAACCAAACAAAGAAGAAGAAATCAAACGGGGACCAAATACCAAATCTCAATAGAGACTTGAACCCAAGACCTCTTTCAATCAAAGCTCTGATACCATAAGTTACCAATTTTCCCAAGAGCCTAAGCTATTAGGAAATGGACCCAACAATCTATACCAAGCTTTCTAACAAGAACAATAATCATACCTTAAACAATCAACGCATCAAAAAAAAAAAAAAACAAAACAAAACAAAACAAAACAAGAAGGTAGGATATGGATACAAAATCTCAATGTCCTTAAACTTTAGGGACACACTATAAAGCCAGGAAATATGTTAATTTGTATGAATACAAACATCAAGTGGTTGTTTGGCATGTGCTAAAATAGCACATGTTATTTTAGCACATTATCCTATTTAGGTCACAATCATCTTATTTAAGTCACATCACCTCTTTACCACACAAATTCAAACCCAACCCATATTTCATGTTTTTTCGTAAAAAGTCAAAAAGTATACTAATCTAGCACTTCCCAAACAACCCCCAAATGTCAGGAAAATACATTTTGAACCTTATGCCAATTCCACAAGAAAGAACCCGTATGGGTTGAATAGAAGCTCACTTCATGGACACTATGGATATATATAGCTTATAAGCACATTCTTTGTTTTGTTCCCTTTGGAGAGGTGGCGAAGGCAGCGGTTAATGACACAAGTTAAAGTTTCCTATGGGTAACAATAACAAATAATAACAAAAAGAAAATGCACAAAATTATACCAAGGAATCAAGGACAGCACTCAACAATATCTTGCATATGTTTTATTGTAAAAGTGAGCTATTGAGAAAAATCAGTTGTGAACGGATAGTTGGTTTCATGGTTTGGTAAATTCAGTTAAAAGTCTAATTTAGCACATGCTAATCCATTGAGGAAAAGGTTGACTAAATGGCATCATATTTTAACCGGCTTCTATATATCTCACCATATTTTAGTTATCAAAAGTAATAAATGAAAAGTAATAAATGAACTTGTTTGGGAACTTGGGTTTGTGGCTCTTTTGGTTAAAATAGCCAACAAGATATAATCAAACCATAATCATTTTACTTTTCCTCTCACAACCATTAAATCAACTAGGGGGCAAAAAAAAAAAAGAAAAAAGCCAACTATCATCCCAAACACAACTTTTTTACCCATATTAAAATAGCCAAAAAAAAACCAACTAAAATCGCCAAGTTCCCAAATGGGGCAATGTGTTGGCATGATAGAAAAATGAACAACCTTATTAGATGCTATGGAAAAGTGGAATACAGTCCCAAATAAAATCAGTATAGCTCATTTTTTAGTTTTTGCTAATTATCGTAGAACTAATTTTTACAAATGTAAGAAGAAGCTACCCATTGCGCAAAAAGGTGTAACGAGAACATACCTCTTGCTGCATATACCATTGCCAATTCCTGGAACCGAATGTCATAGCATATGCCTATACCGATACGACCTACATCTACAAATAAAACTTTCATGTTATATTTTATGCATCAAAAGAAAGACAAACGAATGATAATGAATGAATTGGGAAAAAAAAAACATCATCAAAATTTTAAAAAACAAAAACAAAAAAGTAAGTGTATTAGCAAATTTTAAATTACTGCAGAAAGAGAAAGAAGTGAACAGTTTAATAGCTGCTAAATGTTTGTTTCATTAATTTTCCTCCTCCTCAACATCAAACGTAGAGTAATGCTACAATGCCCATCTCCTTTTAACACATTTCATTTACCATCTGATGTGTCACAAACACATTAGTTGGCTATTATTGACAACAATCGACCCCACATGAATGTTATTAACATCCAAATAATGTGTGAGTGCCACACTAGAAAGAAAGGATACAGATATGAGATACAGGTACAATACGATACGATACGAATATGGTGATACGACAAAACCTAAAAAATAGGTTATGGGTACAACTAGAATACGTTTGTAAAAAAAAATATTTTTTAAAAAAATTATTAGTCAAACACATAAGCTCAAGAATGTTGGGAATGTGAGTTTTTTTTCTGAATAATCTGTATATTCAACTTGTGTCATAATACAAAGAATACATCTGATTATATAGTACTCCTAACCCTAAGACTAAAAAGGAAAAGGAAACACTGCCATATAGGAAAAGGAAACACTGCCATATATATGCACAATATACACTACCATATATATAAACCTAACCTAATATTCTCACACCCTGCTCAAACTGTATTTTAGCAGAAAACACTGAGAGTTTGCCAAAAAAAACTGAAACCGAGCAGTGGTGCGAGTCTTGGTAAAGAAATCAGCAAGTTGCAAAGCCGAAGATAGGAAAGGAAGCGAGATAGAACCAGATTGTAGCAGACGGGCAAAGTGACAATTAATCTCAATGTGCTTTGTTCGCTCATGGAAGACAGTGTTATGGGCAATCTGAATAGCACTACGGTTATCACAATAGAGGGAGGTCAGAGAAGACTGAGAGACGCCCAAGTCAAAGAGAAGACAACGAAGCCAGACAATTTCAGCAGTAGCATGAGCCATAGCACGATACTTAGCTTCGGCAGTAGAACGGGCAACAATAGTTTGTTTTTTGCTTTTCCAAGAAATCAATGAATCGCCAAGAAACATACAAAAACCAGAAGTGAACTTACCATCAATGACATCACCAGCCCAATCATCAACATAGGCTACTAAAGCCAAGGAAGAAGTAGACGACAATAACAATCCTTGGAAGATAGTACCGCGAAGATAGCGAAGAATCCGAAGCAAAGCAGCCCAATGTGTAGAGCGAGGAGCAGAAACGAACTGACTAACCACATGAACAGCATAGGCAAGATCAGAGCCAGTAATCGTCAGACAGACTAAGCAACCTACTAGCTCTCGATATAAAGTAGGATCAGGCAAAGGAACACCACCAGTAGTGTTAAGTTTCAAATTAAGCTCAATGGGGGTATCAACAATCTTAGTGTCATTAAGACTAGCACGGTGAATAACTTCATTAGCATACTTGGCTTGAGACAAAAAGTAGCATTTGGGAGAAGAAACCACTTTATACTAAGAAAATACTGTAATGGGCCCAAATCCTTTATTTCGAAGGTGCGGAAGAGATGTTGCTTGACCTCAGAGATAGCAAAAGAATTAGAGCCAGTAATAATCATATTATCCACATATAGTAATAAGGCAACAAAACCAACACAGGTGTGGAGGAGAAACAAAGCAGAGTCCTAGATAGAAGGATGAAACCCAAGCTCAGTAACAGCAGTTAGAAAGCGATCATACCAAGCACAAGGAGATTGCTTCATACCATACAGAGCACGTCGAAGACAACAAACCTATCCAAAGGAATGGTGAAGCCAGGGGGGAGGACGCATGTAAACCTCCTTAACGAGATGACCATTACGAAAAGCATTCTTAAAATCCATCTAATAAAGAGGCTAATGACGAACAACAGTGACAGATATCAAAGTACGGAGAGTAGTTATCTTGGCAACAGGGACAAAGGTCTCCTCATAATCAATACCATACTCATGTGAAAAATACTTGGCAACTAGGCGAGCCTTGTAGCGCTCAAGAGAACCATCAAAATGAGTCTTGACTTTGTAAACCCATTAGCAACCAACTATATTCTTAACAGTAGGCAAAGGAACCAACTCCCAAGAACTAGTTTTCTGCAAGGTAGACAACTCATCTTCCATTGCTTGAATCCAATGAGGATCCTAACAGGCCTCCTTGTACGACTGAAGTTGGTTAGCAAGATCAGAGTCATCAGAAGCAGGAGGATCAACAGCATGGGCAAAGACAACTGGTGGAGGGAGAGCCTTGCGACGAGAATAGACTAACAATGGAAGGGGAGAAGGAGCCACCGGGGGAGAAGGTGGAGAGGATGTAACAGACTCATAGGGTACAGTGGAGAGGGACTCAACATGAGGGGGGTTAGGAGGAGAAGAGAAAACAAGCTCATGGGAAACAGTAGAGATGTACTCATCAGGGACATCAGAAGGAAATGGATCAATGTGAACCAAATCTTCTTTAGAAACTGGAGTAGTAAGAGGCAGAAGCTAAAAGTAAGCTAGACATTCCAAAAAGGCAACATGGCAGGAGACATAAAGGTGACGAGAAACAGGATCATAACAACGATAGCCTTTCTGAAGAAGACTGTAATCCAAAAAGACAAACAGGATAGACCGGGCATTAAATTTTGTCCTGTCTTTTCGAAAAAGGCCAAAACACGCAGACCTAAAAACACTAAGGAGAGAGTAATTGGAAAGTTGGAAAAACAGAGCCTCATAAGGAGAATGACTAGATAGTAAAGGGGTAGGCATACGGTTGAGAAGAAAAACAGCGGTAAGAACGGCTTCCCCCCAAAAGGGAGCCAGAACAGAGGCAAAAAAAAGAGAGATCTAGCAATCTCAAGAAGACAACGGTGTTTATGCTCATCAAGACCATTTTGGGTAGGTGAAGTATAAGAAGTTTGGTGAATGGTACCTAAATTGGCCAAATACTTATAGAACTCCGTTTTAAAATATTCCCCACCCAAGTCAGACTGTAACAATTTAATGGTAATCCCAAATTGTGTAGTGATCATAGACTGAAAGGTAGAGTATATTTGGTAGAAGTTAGATTTGTGAGTCATAAGATAAACCCAAGTATAGCGGGTGCAATCATCAACAAAAGACACTTAATATGCAGAACCTCTTTTAGTGAGAACAAGAGAGTGTCTCCAAACATTAATACATCAGTATGCACAAGAGAAAAAGGAGAAACAGAAATAGAAGTACTTTTATTAAATGGTAATGCTAACATTTTGGCAAGTTTACACCCCCGACATTAATCAATTTGATTAGGAGAAACTTTACCCAACACTCCTAACTGAGCTGAAGACCGTAAGCGGTCAACAGACAAATGACCTAGGCGAGAATACCATAAATAAAACTGACTCGACTGAGAATCTAACTGAAATGAGGAAAGTGCAATTGAAGAGGTAGATAGAGGAAAATGCAAGCATTCTACCACATAGAGATCTCCAACTCTACAGTCAGTCCCAATTTGCTTCTTAGATACTCGATCCTGAAGAGGACCCAAGCAAACCTGAATGAAGACTAGGTAAGAGTGGAGGCAGATGGGAATGGCTGAGAGGTGGACAAGAGGTGTCGAAGCTGAGCAATCTGGGCACTCAAGGAAGCCAAGTCAAGACCTGGAGCTAGAGTAGATGTGATATCAGTGGCAGGAGGCCGAATGTTATTTTGAGTAGGAGCATAGGACCGTGATTGAGACTGCTAAGAAGACGCATGGCCCTTCTTGGGACAGTTGTACTTCCAATGACCCCTCTGATGGCAGAAAGCACACTCATCGGAAGTCAGGGGCCCCTTCTTGGGCTTTGTAGTGGCCAGAAGCTGATGAGGAGGTAGGGTCGATAGATGGAGACAGAGTCTGATTGGTTGTCTTAAGACGGGTTTCTTCGAAGAGGAGGCACGAACAATAGAATCCACAGAGAGAAGAGGAGACCGGTGAAGAATGCCACCACGAATAGCCATATATTGAGGAGAGAGAGACGTTAGGAACTGCACTAATCGACCTTACTCCCAAAACTCAATATAAGCATCTAGAACCTTGAGGCTAGATGGTTCCATAAAAACTAACTGATCCCAGAGACCTGTCATCTCAATATAGAAGTCCTAAATAGATTGATCTCGTTAATGAGCACCCTGAATAGCTATTTCCAACTCATACCGATTGGCAAAGTTGGATTGTTGATAAACACTTTGTAAGTAATCCCACACCTCTTTGGCAGTGCTATATTTAGAGAACATCATCCCAATACGGTCATTCACAGAATTATGAAAAACTTGGGCATTATCACAATCCCAAGTGTCACAAGAAGTCAGATATCCTTCTTGTTTTGGATCCGATGGATGAGGAACAAAACCATAAATATATCCCCATTTTTTTCAACCGAGAAGAAAATTTTCCTAACACTAGACCAATAAGCATAGTTGCCACTAGTAAATTTGCATTTAATAGCCTAAATTTTATCTTCCAACATTGTAATGAACCAGAAGGAAAAGAGAAGGAAACTGATGGTGCAAGGTGTAATAACCAAAATAAATAAATAATCTGAGGGGTTAAAGTATAATAAATAAAAAGTGGAGAGCCAATTGACAATATATCAGTAACCTAGTGTTTAGTAGAGAGAACCAGACTCAAACAAGAGAGAGAGAGAGAGAGAGAGAGAGAGAGAGAACAAACTCTTCGCAAGAGATAGCGAGTCGCGAACCAACGGGGATGAACTAGCGAACCAGAAAACCACAATGGCGAGACGAGAAGAGAAAAGTGGCGAACGAGATTCCAGCAGTCGATCGACCTAGACAGACCAATCGATCGATCGATTGACCTAGACAAACTAGTCGATCAAGAGAAAGAGAGGCCTTCAAACCAGACAAGCCGTCAATCATGATCAAGGGATACGACCATGACTCGCTA